GTAATAGTGCAATGCCATTATGTTATAATTACTGCATTAAGCAAACCTGATTTTCTCAGCTAACTCCGATGCGCTCATCAATACAATATCATTCTTAACGGGTGGAACTTTCTTGACATTAAAATCATAGTACAATCCAAAAACCAGATGTACCAAACAATCAAATGCTGCATGAAATTGAATAATGGAGAACCTCAGTATCTGCACTAGAATTCTTAATACGTCATTCTCAGACCTCATTTCATGAGGTTGAGTTCCATTACCCTGAAACACAGAATATTTTTAATCGATTGTATTCATTACCATTTTAAATGATTATTAAACACTGGCCGGTATTCAGAGTCGTTGCTTATTCTTAAGATCGTCTTAAGCATCTGCTTAAGGAGGTTAGGTAGATCACTCGCGGGCATAAAGTTATTATAGATAGAGTAGGGAAGACATAGGCTCTTGTGTAAGTGGTATCGTATACGTGTTTAGATACAGAAAGAAAATAGAAGACCTCTTTCTATCTCTTTCTATCATGCGCTAGTAGAAGGAGATAAAGAAAGGTATCTTATTATCTCTTTCTTTCTATTCAGGATACGGTTTCCGGGCAATCTTCCCTACTCTATCTACAATAATTCTATGCTCGCGGGGCAGGCGGTGAGAGAAGTAGTCCTATGCTTATACATGGGTGCTCTGTCGTGACACCAACCTCAGAAAAAAAAAATTTTGAATTCGTTAATATCGTATTTATCAATGAATTTAGAAAGAAGTTAGTACCAAGTAACTTTTTTTAGCGTTAAGAATATGAAGATGTCCTTGCGATAGACGTGAAAGTTAATATTATTGAATTAAAAATATTTTGTAGCGAGTAGTGGATCAGTTATACGTGAGAATACAATCAATATGTTTTCTTTCCGTTCAATTATCTAAACAATTAAGTTGTAAATTCGCATTTTTCTTCTTTCAAATTGTTCAAAAATGTTTGGATATTCTATTACATTTTTACTCTTAACGATCTTACCATTTTTAAAAACTCTGTTTAACAAAAATGACAAGATTTCTTGTATCTCCCATAAGAGCCCGTGTATAAGGATATAAGTTTGACATAGATTTATTTACGAACTACGCTGTCAATTGTTCTGAAAATTTTACACAATATTTTTCATGCTGTTACTAATCGATTAAAATAATTTTCAAAATGATTTTATCACATTCATTCCATTATCCAGGCTCGAATTTATAGTCGCTTCTCGCACTTGACACTCAGCACTCAAGTGCGTCCCACCAATGTACACATTGTTATGTTTAAAAAGAAGTGAGAGTAGCGGAATAGCTGCGCAATAGTTTTTCTCCTTTTCCGCTTCTTTCACTTCTTTTTCAAACATGAAGTATAAAACTTTTAGAATCTGAATATAACATAAACGTGTACATTGAACGCGGAACGGTTGGACGCACTTGAGTGCTGATTGTGAGTGCCAAGTGCGAGAATCAACTATAAATTCGAGCTCCAATCTCCTTATGTCCCTGTTCCCTGTACAGCTAGTAACATCGAAATTGAGCCAGCTACGTGCATGTGTTAGTTTCCCCTAGGGGGACAAAATTCAAAACGAGTAATAAGTATATCTTATTTTTTCGATGCTTGATCTGGCATCGGTACTGTTGGATTTTATTATAATTTTGACTCGTCAACATAAAAAGAATTTTAATATAGGTGGTGGTAATGTACGTACGTACGTTAACATTATTTTTATTTTGACGCGTCAATATTATGTTAAAATCCAACAATATCAATGCGAGATCGAGCATCGTTCATCAATTGTTTGGACATTGTACATATGTGTATATTTATATTATTACCTGAGTTTCTGTACTTCTTGTTAACGTACACATGTTAATAGCTAGTTGTACAAAATCAATTTATTTCGTTACTCTAACTTATATAGATTATATTTATAGCTAGACTGATATTAACTCAGCAACATTTAATACACAATAACTGGTAACGAGAATGGAACAAGTTGGAAGCATTACTACACGTCACTGACTTTCTCTATACTGTCTAGAACTGCTACTTTCGAATTTGTTTCGAATCAAAAGTAGCGTTACCAGATCGAGCAATTTTTCTCGCTTTTCCACTTTTTCGCATGCTGACTCCCACTACTGTATTTTGTCCCCGCTTACGTTACCCATGGACATGCGCCTGATGCGCCTATCGGCTTACCACGTGACGTATTTTGATAATATATTATGTTATTATTATGAATTATGTGAATATTTATCAGTATATTATGAGTATTTTAAAATACGTCACGTATACGATGTAAAAATTCTTGTCCGATTTTATTGCGCGAAAAACATTGAGAAAATCGGTTTTCGAATTTTTTACATACGCCAAACTTCATCGAAAAATCTGGAAAAATAGGGTATAGTAGTTGGATTGAAGCACGTTTACCATAAAAATATAAATGACATGTCTCGAAAACTTCAATACGGGATCAGCATTTTTTTTATGTATTTTCGGCATTTCTCATTTTTCACGACCGAACTACGCAACGAAAAGATCTGAAAACATTCCCTGTCTCACGAACATGAGAGAATTGTTCAGATCTTTTGCTAAACGTTTATTACGAGTAATATGGAAAAAACGCTAAAATTGATTAACGGGATTGAGATGCAGGGTTGAAAATTGACACGAAACGTTTTCTTTGGCCATTCTATCGAATGGCTCATTGACAGTTGAATTCCGTTCAAGGACACATTTTACCATCTTATTACCGACTAAACCCTTTATTTAATATTTATTTATAACCCGCAGATTAATTTTACTCATTTTCGCACTTTCGTCCATCCTTGTCTGCTGCTGTGTCCGCTGTTGCTGCTCTTCTGTTTCTTCTTTGGCCGCAGCCATTGCCTCTCTCGATAGACCCGGTACTCCCTGTAACTATAAAATAAGGAAAAGATAATCAGCATTCAATCTTAACAATCAAGATGTTTTATTAAGAAAAGAAGATTACAAACAGCATTTTTACTCACTTCTGTCTGCTGCTGCCCGCCGTGCTCGCCGTTCATCGGCATGCTATGTTTTTCTCTTTCCCATTCTATCTGTAAAAAAAGAAGAATTAATTTTACATCGAGCAACAATTACACTGCACGACGTTTATCAGGGCAAACACCCGTGAGAACATTAAGTACGTTAAGTATAATGAACTTACGGTCATTACTCCGCATTCTTTCAGGTGTGAACATACTTTCAGGAGATTTATTATTTCCTCACATTTCATTCCTCCTGTTCCTGGTAGGAAGTACGCTACAATTTGTTTCCATCTATTTTCAGCATTAATGCTGTCGACGCAGAACGCGAAAACATATCTTGCCTTTTCATCGCATCGACCTAAATGACCTAGGTCAATGTGCCGTTCGATGCGATCCAAGTACGCTGAATATTCTTCCCATGCTTTTATGGACATCTCATCCCACTTCAGAGCGCATAATCTCTCCTGCACTGATAATTCTGATAAATGACGCTTTATCTCATGAAACACGTCATCGGAGAATCCTGTTTCTAAATTGTAGACGGAGATTAACCTCCGTACTGTGCTCTCAGCTGGCAGGTGACAATCGCTCTTCCTCAGTTTACTGTACGTCGATGCTGAATTATAAAATATCATTTTTGCCAAATCTCACTCTTCGGCTGTGTAAGGCACTTTATCACTTTTCAGCTGCAATTTTATCAAAGTTTTGGCGACTTCATTTTTGCAGCCATGCTGCTTCATAAATTCGTTGACCGTCTTTACAGGACGACTCTCGTTACGAAAATTAATTTTGCATGTTTTTACTCATACAAGTTTCCGTTTCATATTCTTCAATTCTTCTTTCAATTCTTTATTTTCTTTCATCAAGCGAGCACATTTTTTTTCTTATTGCAGTTCACGCAAAGTTTTCTTTACAGGATTTTCATCGTTTTCCCGTATCGATCGATTCCTTCCGGTTCAATTAGTCAGTCCATCGCAGTTTCATTTTCATGAAATGTCAATATCACTCCGCTATACTGTCTGCAAATTTCATTGACTGGTATTTCGTCTTCTTTCTCTCGTTCTTGTCTCATGTCATTCTTCCTCTTCCTCTTCTTTCTCTATTGTTAAATCCAGTTCATAAAGTTGTTCTTCTTCCTGTTCATTTCCTATTTCTTCTTCATCTTCTATTTCGTCCTCGTTCCTTAAACTACTCGTTGATGGCAAAGGTTCTGGTAGCGCATCGGGCTTCAACAATTTCCTCCTTCCTGCGTTCGACGTCGGATTTGATTTAAACATTTCGGGCAAGAAATGTTTACTACAGATACCCATTCTTCGTATCGTTGAAGCAGAATAATATTTTAAAGCAGGATTGCCTATTGAAAGAAGAAAATAGTACGCATTGAACGGAAGAAGAAGAAATCTAAATGGACTCGAAAATAAGAAAATGAGTTATTTTGAGTATTATAAATATCTGAAGAGTACCGGAATCTTGCAAAGTCGATATTTTTTAACTTTCTGACTACATGTAAAGTCTGAGAATACACGTTTAAATGTACGTCAGACTTGAACGTCATTAACTACACTTTTAGCAGGTAGCGGTAAATTTTGAAAATTTTTATGATATCACTATTAGTTCGTATAGATATTATATCCTATATTATATTTATTAAAGTAATCGAGAGTGAACAGCACGATATCATGACGTAGTATCATTTTACTGGTTTCTTATGTAACACTCAGTAGTGGGTATGAAAAGGTTATATAAACATGTACATGACCAGTTTTCCGTGATTTGGTTCTACTGTGCATCGCTCGCTTTATGTGGATCGGCTGTGGGGTTTAAGAATAGATAGACAGTAAATGATCGACAAGTATTTTAAAATCATGTACTAATAAGCAACTAATAGGATGAGTAATGTACAATATTTATCTCTTTATAATACACAAAGTGCCCGCGGTAATGGTGGACAAATATTACTTTTGAATCTTATGGGGAATAAACAAAATTTGGTACACGGAACTTGGACGGTTCAGCGAGATGCATCTTTTAATGAAAACCAATTTCTTGTATGTTATTATTTCAATGAGATACGATGGCCAAGTTGGTTTTATCAAATTGAATTGCATACATCTTCTTTCTTATCATTAAGCTAAACTTTTAAAGACGATTTCATTTATTCTTTATGTATGTCGACTTGCTTAATTAGATTTTGAGATGTTAAATTGAAGAAGTTACTGTTTAGGCGGAACGAATTGCATAGCGACGCATGCACCACGTCAAAAAACAACCCCAGGCACTTGAGATTTTTCATCGAACCGTTCGACTCGGCACACCACTTAAGAGGCCAAAAGATTCATTGCTTTTTTTCTATCACAAAGAACAAGGCAAGTTTAGAACCACATTCTTTTACATTTTATATTTCCACAGTCAGTTAGAAAGCGACAATGCTCCAGTTCACATCTCTTCCGCGTTACGAATTTTTATATAACTCCACACCAGTATTTTTTAGCTTGTGTAAAGTTCGTACAAATTTTTGTGTTAGTCGATCGAAAGAACGTGTTACGTGATCGCGGTATGTGCATGTGCCGCGATTAACATCAGGACTGATTTCGATAGAGCTCTATCTTATACCATACGCATCGCATTAGCGATCAGCGAAACGGCTCTCTGCCGAACTATGCGATCGTCTCTACGATCCGTAGAGCAATTGCCCCACATGCAATTATTACTTAATTAAACTTTCAACGCACATAGATGAAGCAATGTATAAGTGTATGGAATAAAACAAATGGAAATATAAAAAAATTGTAAAGTACATGTTAGAAATTCGAGATTGGAAGCGAAGAAGCATGAGTCATATGATATTCTTTCAGGATATTCCTTTACAGAAAATCAACGGTATCGTTCGTAGAAGGGAATTCGACGGTACGAGAATCTGTAACGTCGAATAATAGAAGGAATGCCAAGCCAATTACTTAATCCTCCCTTAAGCAGCTAGCGTAGCCGCTCGGTCAGAGAATTGTTTGATACTGAACAACGTGTTGAAAGTTTTATTTGCACGTCATGCGTAATTAAACTAAAGAAAAATATGATGCCATCTAATTGCGTTTTAAATAATCTCTTTGTTAAGAAAATTCCAGAACAAATTAAAATTTTAAATATGTTTGAGAAAATCTTAATTCAACAAGCGAAAGCATTTCAGACTATCTGAAAAATGGATACAGTTATGAACAAAAATCTACCTCATTACGTCAAGATTGTTACGCAAAGTAATTGGTAGAACGTTTCACTTACCTCTAGTGCATCACAGCGACTGACGCCGTGTATATACGGCAGCCAATTTTTGGTCCACAGGGGTTGACGCCGCTTATACACGGCACCACTTATCTTACTTACTTTTACTTAGGCGAAAAGTAGCAAAGTATGGTACAGGTGCGCCGTCGCGAAAGGGTTAATCATGAATTATACATTTTAATTCGAGGTAATCCAACAAAAAATAAAATAATTTTACAGGATTGCGTTGACGTGAAAAAAGTTTGGGATGCTCTATTTTGGCGCAAGAATAATAATCCTTTCTATAAAAAGAATGTCCTTCCGTCTTGCTCGAAAGATTTATTAGATGTATTGAACAATTTATAATTGCAATATGAAGATGAAATGATACAAGAAGACAAAGGCACTCATAATGAAAATGAAGTTACATCAAATGTACTAAAAATTGAAGCTTTATTAACGCAAAAAACTGAATCATGATCAGTACACTATTTATCCTTTACATGGACAAAATTGCACGATTCTGACACGAAACTGTATCAAATGTTACAAATTTATTTTATCGCTTTAAATATTCAATGTAGGAATTTAGATCTTATGTGTTTCCCCGATCTTTATCCATATGGGAGATACGGTCAGCATGAGGAAAGGATTGTAAAATTGCAGGACTTCCATTTTATTAAATCTAGATTAACTTCAAAACATCCATAATTTAGACTAAATCTGCAGTACCTCTTTTATTTACTATTTAACAATATCATCAGGCAAATTAGAGCTGGTATTTTCCATAAGCTGAACATTGTTAATCCACGTTATAAATATTCAGCGAGAGATGTTATACAAAGACTAAAAGATGATCAGCTTGAGACAAATCTAAACACGATCTTTTCTCGCTTACCAGGCACCGAATACTACTGGCGAAAGGTACGCAATGATCTAAATTGTATGATGAACGAATACGGACCTGCCACTTTCTTTATTACTGTTATCGTGGAAGATTAAATATGAAAGAATTACTCGGAACTGTGTTCTGAACCGATAGACTTTATATTGCAAGAGAGAGAGAATTCGAATTTAGACGTACACATGCTCTCCTAGATAACTGCTCGTGGCTAACTGCCGGTAAGCAGTGTGGCCTAGTGATGGGCACTATCGACTAATTTAAAGTATCGACTACCTAGGGAATAATCGCAACGTACTATCGACTAATTAGTTGATAGAGTTTAGTCGAATGAAATATCGCTCTCGCGGTTATGCCTCTATATTATAATCATAGTCTATGGCGGACTACCGTCTATAAGTATTATACGAATACAATTTTAAACAATTTTTGCGGTCTGAAATATTAATATTGAATAAATAAAAAAATTATTTACCGCTTATAGTTTTAAAATCCCAATTATGAATAATTTTTTGACAAGTAGCCTACTTTATGTACACGTAACGTAG